CAGAGCTTCCGATTCCTGTCACAGGAATTCAGAGTCATCAATCAATTAGAGTTGGTTTCACTTTTGGAGAAATAATATGCAAGGACCACTTAAGATATTTACCATTAATCTGAGGCTCTCCACTAACTGGCAACACTTCGTTTGCTCTGCCTCTGTTTATTCTAGTCACTGGGCCTTTCTGCTACTGGGCAAGTTTTTCCTTCTTCCTATATTTGAACTTGCTGTGTTCTCCAAACCTAGAGTTCACTCACTCCTTGTTGACTAGAACTGTCTTGCACTGTTCTTCCATTCAGTTATTCTAGAAATTGAATGTCTACCAAATGTAGATACCATACGGGCACTTTTCGAAGCTCCATCTCTCTTCTCAACAATTCGCTCTACCTTCCTTGGAAGCCTTTCTAGATCCATCCCATCTGGGCTGGGCACTTGGGTCACTGCTCCAGAGCCTTCCAGTGTTTTCCCCATTGTCCTGAACACATGCCACATGCACGGTATCCCCGTACAGCTTGGGGACAGTAGATGTCTCCCTACAACACTCTTCTAATAACAGCTACCTAGGAATCTAACCTGGAGCAGAGAGATGGGAGCAAAAACTATTTTGAAGCTTGTTGGCAGCTGCTTCCTGAATGGACTGTTTTTCCTCCTAGATCTCGGGAGCTGTGGGTTGGCTCCTGCCTGTCCACAGCTTCTGGTTGGTTCTAGAAGCTTCCTGCTCCCCTGGGCTTCAGTGAGTGTGCTGGCGTTTCAGTCCCTCAGTGTCTTTCTTGCGTCTTCTTGTTACCTGTTCCTACTATGTGGTTTCCCCACTTCACTCAGTCAGGGCAGGGCTCTCCTCCACTTTCAGGGTGAGCCAACAGGCATTTGAGAACCTACTTTGGGGCACTGCCAAGTGCATGAGCTAAATAGCTTCTCACATCAGAAAACCTCCTCTTTCAAAATTAAATACAATGAACAACTAAATATTCTTCTCAAATCAGTTTTTATAAAATGTTCTAAAAAGGCTGGGAATAAAAAGTGAGACCTCTGATATCAAGGCAGTCGCCAAAAATACAGATAAGGAAACAAATTAAGAATGTGAAGTCACAGCTTTCAAAAACAAAGGAAGTAAAGTGAAGACTGAGTTTTACTGTATTTCATTTTCTTATTCCTTTTACTCAGAGTTGTAAGAATTAAATGAAATAATGAACGTAAAGGGAACAGCATGGGGCTAGGCACATGGAAAATTCTTAATACATGTTAGCCATCTGTTCAAACTAAAGGTGAAACTGATAAAGTTTCCAAGTTAACTGACTTAAAATAGTTAACCATCTATTTTTAAAGATAAAATCACGACTTTCTTAAAAAATTTTTTTTTAATCTTTATTTATTTTTGAGAGACAGACAGAGAGAGACAGAGCGTGAGTCAGGGAGGGGCAGAGAGGAGACATAGATCCAAAGCTGGCTCCAAGCTCCAAACTGTCAGCACAGAGCTTCATGTGGGGTCAAACTCAAGAGCTGTGAGATCATGATTTGAGCCAAAGTCAGATGCTTAACCAACTGAGCCACCCAGGTGCCCCCAAATCATAACTTTCATAGAAATGTAAGATGAATGCATATCAAAGATTTTATTTAACTACCTAATTAATGAAGGGATCAGGAAGATGTCCCAACAGGCTCAAGGGGAATTCAAACAGCAGATCTACATCTATATCTACAGCATCTGTATCTATCTAGCTACACCAGGGAATGAATTTACAAAAAAAGCAAAACTGGTCCTTACTGGAACTGTTTGCTGATCCCACTAAAACTAAATTCATATGCATATCTATAGACAAAAACCACTCGCACTGATGTCAGTGATCTACAATGTATAGAGTTTTAAAATATCTCTAAGACAATGATAGGTATAAATCCCACAGACTCTGACAGCCCAGAAGATGCGATCTTTTCTATGGAAGATGTCCATCATCTTTGTCATCAGAAGAGTTTTGCTGAATTAAAACTCATTCTCCTCTATTTAAGAAAACTGCATTATAACATAATACATTTCAATTATGAAGCACTTAGATAATAAAGCGTAAAGAAGAAAATAAAAATCACATATTCTTATCACTAAGAGATAACAACTATTAATACCTGAAGTGTATCCATCCAGTTGTTTCTATGTATATGTGTAAGCATGTATGTACATATATTTACTGTTTTCAAATCAGTTTTAATAATAAATTTTGTTCTAGGAAGCTATATACATATAAATATTCAATTGTATATACCAGTTTACAGTCCACTTTTCCTTTTTATATAATAGACATTTTTCGTTATCATCATCATTTTCAATAGCTACAAAATATTTCATTACATGGAAAAACCATAATTCATTTAATTAATCCATCACCATTAGAAATTTAGATTGTAGCCAAGTTTTAGTTATTTTAACAAAAACGATATGCTTCCCTTCTGACAGCCTTTCCCTTGCAGTGGTACCAGCTTTGCTGAAAAAGCCAAACATTTCACATGGTGTCAGTTTCCAGAGGATGTTGGGAGCCCCAGAACACCTGATCTGCCTCTGCTTTAGTTATTATACCTACCTGTGACCAGGGAATTAGAAATAGAATTAGAATACCAGCTATCTGAAACCACCCTTTTGTTCTTATCATTTTCCTGAGACACATCGTAAAGATTTAGGCATATCTGAAATTTAAAATAAAAACTAAGATCATCCTGAGCTTTGACCCTCAAGGCCATTTAATTGAAAATGATATTGTCAATACAGATATTTTTTCATACAAATGTGTTCATAAGCAAAAACCCAGTTAGCGTTGAGTTTCTTAGAACAAAGAGTCTGAGCAAACAGAAAAATAGCTTTCAGCCAGGAAACAAATTGTCAAAACTTTTTGTGATTTTTCAGACTTTGATTTTTTTTTTCTTAAGAAACAGAGAGAGACAGACCATGAGCAGGGGAGGGGCAGAGAGAAGGGGAGACACAGACTCTGAAGCAGGCTCCAGGCTCTGAGCTGTCAGCACAGAGCCCGACATGGGGTTCGAACCCAACAAACTATAAGATCATGACCTGAGCCGAAGTTGGACACTTAACCAACTGAGCCACCCAGGTGCCCCTTGATTTTTTTTTTTTTTGTACACAAGATGACATTTAGTTACAACAGACCCAACAGGAGAACAATGAGCTACAACTGGCCCTCCTCACTAGAATACCATTGTTGTCCTCATTCAAAGGAGTACTTGAGAAAGGAAATCATTAAAATCTAAGGGAAAGACTTCAAAGCCTTACAAGCTACCACTTAAGAGAGGTGGTTGTTGGACCAGGCACACAGCAGGTACTCAATATTTGCTGAATAATGGAGGTATAAACATTTGGCAATGAGCTGTGTGGTTTTCAGGAGGAAGAGAATCAGTTAAGCTGGTGTCTCCATTTTTTATTTCTAAAAATTAAGAGAAATGACTCCTCTCTCATGAAAAAAAAAAGACTTCAAATGGAAGAACAGAGTCTGGTTTAAGCTAAGAAAAATACTATTAAAATAATAATCAGATATTGTAGCAAGTTACAGAGAAGACTTGTGGAAATTATATCCCTGGAGAGAAAGAGAGTGTAGGAATCCCCCAAGTATAGCAGAATTTCCAAAGAACACAAGGTAGACCACATTCACTTTTCAGGTCTTTTCCAGTTACAGCAGGAAATCAAGTAGACTTTATGCTTTTATAAAATGAATTAGTGGTTTCTCTAAAATAAAGCATATATATGAAGCTATAGCTTGGGGTTTGCTACCCACTGCTAGGATGAAAGTTACACAGAATATAAAATCAGGCAATAACAATCAGGCAATGCAACATTAGTGTGCCTACTGTGTGCCAAGCCTTACCCAAGTAGACATACTGATTTGGCTACTGTCAGAGACAGAATATCCAATGGGACAGATCATGACTGAGATGATGTGATAATTCTCTTGGACTTAGCTTTCTTCTTGTCACTTCTAGCAAAATCCAAGCCACAGAAACAACTATATTGTATTTGATTCCTTCCAATGGTGACCTAGAATCTCACTACTTCTTGGGTATGACCATTCCGTATTTCGTACTGTTTGGTGGTGGGTCAATTCCATTTGATCTTTTTGCATCTAGAATTTGTCAGGCACTTTACTAATCACCAGAAATGACAAAAGCACTTCTCTATATGCAGGTAACTGCCCTCTGGATCTTGTGAATAAACAGGTCTACCCTCAATTCTTCTCATACTTCCTCCTGAGAAATACTTTTAAAACATGTAAAAGCTATGATCACATTTCCATTCACATGGAAGTCTGAGCATCGCTGAAAAAGAAGCAAAGACTGAAGTCTACGATGGCAAGTTCTTGCTGACATTTTTAACAGACCCGCCATTAGAATAGCAACCCAATTAAATATGCCAGTTTAGAGTTTTAGAAGAAAAAAAATCTGTGTAACCACATCCTATAATATGCCTCTTCCTTGAGAAAGAAGTAATCATTTCTGTAGTATGCCTCTCCCTTCAAAAACCAATCATTATTCAGTTGCACATTTTTAAAGTGTCGTGAAAAACAAAGATGAGAAGGGGGTGTTCCTTTACTGTTTTATACTTAATTATACTAAGAGGAAAACTGCCTTAAATGAAATCTTACACCTTTCTTGTGCTATATTCAATAACTTTAGAGATGAGACAAATCTGTAATTTTTGAAAAGTAGGGGATTAGAAGAAATATAATCTAGCACAGGACAGAGACAAACGCTAGCAACATAGATATGCAGACCCTGTGAATTTTTTTAACAGCCAAGCTAGAAGATGGAAATGCTGTATTCTTTTACTACCTATACAATTGATTTTTGCTAGGAACGGAGCAAATAAACTTCCACTTCCGATTTCAGGACAGTCAGTATGATAGCATATCTTCAAGTCCAAGTTTAAGTGAATTCCAAAAGAGTGAAACCGTGACTGTGAGCAGAGCCATTTCTCAGAAGCAGGAACTGCATGTTGGAAACTGACTGCTTACCTTCGAAGAACTGCTGCAGAGCCTCGTTCTCCCCTACCACATCCATGGTGCTGCGGTCCTGGTAATGCTTCCCCCCAGACCAAGCGTTCTCAGACCTCAGGAACCAAGGGCTCGTCCTCTCCACTTGATGCCTATGAATGCTCTTGAAAAATCTTCATTTTCTTTTTATTGGAGTGAAGCATATCTTCTGCCAACAAACTGCGTCCAGAAAGATGATTAAATTTCAAAATGATTATAAGACCAGGCTATATAGGTGACCATGCAGGAAAAAAAAAACCCTCAAGAATAGGGAAGTGGTAACAAATCTATCTTACTGTAGGGAACTGTTTCTACTCTGCCTCTCGTCTTTGTTTTAAGGACCTTTGTCCTTAGTGACACATGTAATTACATAAATGGGCAATAAATACATAGTCTTATCTCTTATTTGTCCTTACACCAATATATTTATATCTTCCCCCTCTATCAACTAGATCAATTTAGCCATGCCAGGAAGATATAGCTTGTGTGTGTGTGTGTGTGTGTGTGTGTGTGTGTGTGCGCGCGCGTGCGCGCCCCTAGAGAAGGGGGACAATTCAATAATCACTTTTATAGATACCTAGAAGAGCAGATAATTTAGACAGCCTTGTGATAATGAAGAGTTGGGATTTGTTAAGTATTTCTAAATTCAATCACAATGAAAACATTCCTTGATACATTCTTAGTCTATCTCCTCCAGATTTTATTTTCTTTGAAAGTATAAACTAAAAAGTAGAAGTACCTCTAATGAGCAACAAAAATTGCATTTGATTCCGTAATTCTTACAGTTGGGTAGAGGCTTCACTCTTAGCTGGTTTCATCCCTAAATATAAAACCACATGCAAATAAATGTTTTGCTTTCACTGCTTAACTATTAATTTACTTAATAATAGCCTACGAATATAATTAGGATATTCAATCGGCTCTTTAACCCTTCATTTCCTTTTCCCCCAATTTTTATTTTGAAAGTCTTTATCCTATAGAAAAGCTGGAAGAACAGTACCATGAAATACCCACCTACTCTTCACCCAGATTTATTATTAATATTTCCCATTTTTGCTTTTTCTTGCTTGCTATATATATTTTTGGCTGAGTCATTTGAAAATATTGCTGACATCTTGACATTTCACCCAGAAATAATTCTGTGTATGTATCCTAACAAATGAGGACATTCTCCAACATAATCACAGTATTATTCCACACAGGAAATAGAACAGAAATTTAATATCTCATTAGTATTAATAACTTTGTCCCCAAAATACCTTTTATGGCCTTTGTTTTCTGATCAAGGATCTAATGAATGTTCATGCATTGCCTTTGGTCATGTTTATTTATTTATTTTTAAAGATTATTTATTTTGAAAGAGAGAACGAGCATGAGCAGATACGAGGTAGAGAGAGATGGAGAGAGAACCCCAGGCAGGGTCCACACTGTCAGTGCACAGCTCGATGTGGGGCACAATCCCATGAACTGTGAGATCATGACCTGAACTGAGATCAAGAGTGGGATGCTTAACTGACTGAGCCATCCAAATACCCCTGGTTATGCCTTTTTAAAGATATGGAACAATCTCCTTGTCAGTTTGGTTAGTTGTTTGGCTTTTTATGATTTTGACACTTTTTTAACAATCCAGACCCATTGTCTTATAGAATGTCCCAATCCTGGATTTGTCTGTTTCACTATTGTTAGATTCAGTACAGGTGATGTGGTATGCTTCCTAATAAGCATTTTAAACGATTCCTTGAAAACAAGAAAGCTAATTCTATACTGGAGAAAAAAAAAAAAAAGAGGCTTAGAATCCTACTTCGAAACTCACACTGGGTCCCAGACCTTTAAGGACAAGTCATCAAGTTGCTTAAAGAAATTCATTTTCTAGTTTTTTCAATTTAATTTGTGCTAAACTAGTTCTCTGCTGGGTTCATGAAGTAAAAAGATGAGTAAATAATGGTCCCTGATGTCCACAGGCTTAAATCTAGGGCATGAGAAAAACACAACTATAACTCAAGGCAGACTCTAATAAAGTCTGGGGAAAACATCTCAAGAGAACAGAGGAAGTAAAGAGTTACTTAATCTAGGGGCTGTCACTAAGAGCTGAAATTTGAAGAGACTTAAACAATGGGTATGTGTGTGCAGGAACTGCTGTTTTGGTGTGTGCTTTGTGAAGAGAAAAGGTGGGAAACAGGCTCAAGAAGGATTTCGGTAGATATTGAATACTGGGCTCCATCTGATTCCATGTAACTATCTGTTGATGATTTCTATTTAGGTAGTGGTCATGCACAATATAATTAAATCTAACTTGAAAGAAGGTTGTGTTGAAATGTGTTGGTTAGGGTAGTAACTGAAGTTAGACCAATAATAAAGCCTGAAGATGGTACTGAACCAAGAGCTGGCTACTGATTGGATGTGAGGAGCAAGGAAGAGGTCAAATGATATTTTTAAGTATATGCCTTTAGGTGCAATATGAATTAAGATGCCTAAAATGTGTAGCATAGGTCTAATTCTAGACTCCAAGAGAAGTTCCCAGCCACATTTTCTGGAGGCTGTTGGAAGTAAGTCATCACACTGTATCTACTGCCAAATGATTCAGGACCCTACCCAACAGTTCACCAAGACAACTCACATTCTCAACAGTAATGAGAGATAGGAATCACAACAGAGAAAGAAATCAGATCCCAGTTAACGGGCTGAGAAGCAAAGGTCAGAATAGGGTCCCAAGCTCAAATACCTACAGGGCTGGGCAGATAAGCGAGTAAAATGGGTCAAAATAAGCAAAAACCAACCATGCAAGCATATTGATAACTGACAAGTGACCCTTTATTCTTGATGTCAGGAAGACAGAGGCGGTGGGGCATGGAGTAAACCAGAGGGTACAGGCCATGTAAAGGGTGGAGTTAGCCAACAGGTGAAACCACTCAACCTCCTCCAAGAATATGGGCTCAGTGTCGTCAAAATAGACAATTTTGAAACCAGAGCTCGAAGTGCACATTTTAATTTTAAATCTCATTTTTAAATGCAATTTTTAAATTGCAATTAATTTGTTTAAAAATAAAACAAACATAAAAGTAAACCAAAACATTGTCAAGGGCAAATAACATATATGTGAAAACATGATTCAGCCTGCAGGACTTCAGTTTGCAATTTCCGGGTTAGAGGCTAACCTATAACAACCAACATGGTTTGAGGCAAAGTAAAGAAAATGTAGAAGAAAGTTGTTGGAAGGGTTGGAAAACATACTTGTATTAATTAATCAGTCCAGAGCACACAGTCCAAGGCACAATCCAGCCAGTGGCCACTGGGACTTAAGGTCTTTCACTCTCAGAGAATAACAAATACCATCCATATTTCCTTGATTATGGTCTTTAGTCTTCACATCTCTAATATCTTCTAATTCTATTGGGCACCCCCATGTTGCATAAATTTGGTAGAGCTTCATTTCTTGGGAAGTAATCTAAGGTAGCTGTGGTTTAGGTTTGTTTTTGGTATTGAAGTTTCCTAGAGAACTCCAATAAATAAATGGGTAAGAGCTGAGCTGCTATGGTTAAATCTGGTGATGTGGCTCAAGTTGGGAATGTAATGATGGGAACCTTTTTCTCTCAAGTCTGTCCCTGAGATCTATAGCTCCAGAATTCTAGTATTTACAACACAGTCCTTCTTAATGTTAGATTATATGTGGATTTGTACTTCCTTGAGAGCTACTATTAGGGTTTCTATTCTCTTTATTTCAGCAGTTTTGCTCATTTGTGGTATTGTAATTTTTTTATTTTAATTTTAAAAAGCTTCTGGCTTGGACTGAGTGGTGGTACTGGACATGAACAGAAGTGGACACAACTAATCAAGGTATGTTTTGCAGTGCTGATGTGGCTTGCTGATAGACTGGATTGGAGGTGGTGGTGACAGAAACCAAGAGTAAGTTCCTAGACTTTAGCTTAAGCAACTGGGCCAAGCGTCAATGTTAGGTGAGATGTGGCCATTAGAAATTCAAGTGGAGGGGCTGATAGCAAATGGATACAATAGCCTAAAGCTAGGGAAGGGATGTCAGGGTTAGAAATAAAGAATATTTAAATAATGCTAAGGGGGCCCAGGCAAAACTCTGTAGTGATTCCAGTATTTAAAAGCTGACCTGGGGTGCCTGGGTGGCTCAGTCGGTTAAACATTGCTCTTGATTTTGGCCAAAGTCATGATCTCACGGGGGGTATAGCTCAGTGGTAGAGCATTTGACTGCAAAGTCATGATCTCACGGTCATGGGACCCAGCTTAGTGTTGGGCTCTGCACTGGTAGCACAGAATCTGCTTGGGATTCTCTCTGTCTCTCTCTGCCCCATCCCCCCGACCATTGGCATGTGCATGCTCTCTCAAAATAAATAAACTTAGAAAATAAAATAAAATAAAAGCTGAGCTAAGAAAGAGCCAGTTAGAATTGTGGCCAAAGCTGTCACAGGAAACTTCAAACCCTGAGCTTACTCAGACCTACATGGTCTGACCCCTGCCTACATCTCCAGCTTTCCCTTACCAATTTCCCTGCCACCAACTGTGCACTAGGTTTTGTTTTTGTTTTTGCCATTTTTCAAATATATCAAGTGCAGGTCTTCCTTAGGGGCCTTAAACCAGCTTTGAGTGCTCTCTCTTCACAAGCCTGGATCTGACCAGAACCCAGCTGAAAAATGTCACCTCCTGATTTGGTCTTTCCTGACCACCCAAATCTGAAGTAGTCATCCATTTCCTTTATAGCTCATTACCCCATTTTAAGTATATATAGAGCACTTGTGTCATCTTTTAACATTAGTCTCTTTGTCCACTTGCCACCAAACTGACAGCTAAGCTCTATGAGAATTGAGTCCACCAGTCTTGCTCACTGCTGTAACTCCCAACACCTGCAGTAGTACCTGGCACACACAACACTCAAGTGTGTGAATAATGGAGTGGAATTCTCTTTCTAGAAGTTCTACACAAAATTATAGAAACTACTGGGTCCTTATTTGCCTATATATCAGGGATAAGAAACTTAGTTATCTGCTGAGATGGTAATTGTTC